TAAATATAAGTATGGTATTGAAAGAACTGTGAATTATTCTTGTCTTAATTCTGAAACTAAATGTTTTGTTTCAAATTTGAATAAAACAATTGAACCTAAAAGTTTTAGTGAAGCTGTTACTGATCCAAATTGGGTCAAGGCTATGAATGAGGAAATGGAAGCTTTACATAGAAATAATACTTGGGAAATAACTAGTCTACCTAAAAACAGGAAAGCAATTGGATGTAAGTGGGTGTATAAAATTAAATATAAATCTAATGGTGAGGTTGAGAGATATAAAGCTAGATTAATTGCAAAAGGTTATAATCAAAGAGAGGGAATTGATTTTGAGGAGACTTTTTCTCCTGTTGCAAAAATAGTAACTGTTCGTATTGTTATTTCTCTGTCTGTTCATTACTCATGGTCATTATATCAGTTGGACATAAATAATGCTTTTCTGTATGGGGATCTTTCAGAAGATGTATATATGTGTCTTCCACCTGGTTATTATTCTGAAAATGATCTTAGAGTCTGTAAATTGACTAAGTCTTTATATGGTCTTAAATAGGCACCTAGAAAATGGAATGAAAAACTCTGTGCTGCATTGTTTATGTTTGGTTTTCAACAAAGTGTTAATGATTATTCTTTGTTTATTAGAAAATGTGATAGTTCTATTACTGTTCTTTTGGTGTATGTAGATGATATTATTTTGACTGGTAGTGATGAATTTGAACTTAAGAAAGTAAAAGAATTTATGAAAAGTCAATTCTTAATTAAAGATTTAGGTACACTCAAATATTTTTTAGGAATAGAAGTAGTAAATATTGAGTGTGGGTTGTGTTTAAATCAAAGAAAATACTGCCTTGAGCTTTACACGAATATGGTATGCTTGGGTGTAAACCTGTAGCTACACCACTAGAGACTAATTTTGTGATAAGTTCAGGAGACTTTGATAAAAAGGATGAGTTGTTGAGTAATAAAACTGAATTTCAAAGACTTATAGGAAAGCTGATTTATCTTACTATTACAAGGCCTGATATTTCTTATGCAGTTCAAGTTCTTAGTCAGTACATGCATAAGCCCAGAAAATCTCATTTAAAAATTGCTTTCAGAATTTTGAGATATTTAAAAAATAATCCTGGGAAAGGTATTGCTTTGACAAAACATGATGGTTTTGAATTAAAAGGATTTGTAGATGCAGATTGGGCTAAATGTCTTACCACCAGAAAATCTGTAACAGGTTATTTGGTTTATTTCAATAATTCTTTGATTTCTTGGAAAAGTAAAAAGCAATCTACAGTATCAAGATCATCAACTGAATCAGAATATAGAGCCTTAGGTTCTATTACATGTGAAATATTGTGGGTTTTAAAAGTTTTATTTGAATTAAATATTAAAGATATTATTCCTGTTTCAGTATACTGTGATAATGATTCAACTATTAAGCTAGCTTTTAATCCAGTGTTTCATGAAAGAACCAAGCATTTTGAAGTTGATCTTCATTTTATTAGGGAAAAAATTTCAAGTGGTGTGTTGAAATTAGTAAAAATAAGTTCGTGTAATCAAAATGCTGATTGTCTTACAAAATCATTAAGTGTTAAACAGCATGAGTTTTTTCTAAAAAGGTTGGGTCTTATTGATGTCTTTTGTAAAAAATAATAAATATTTGATTGAGGGGGGATGTTGAAATGTTAATATGCATTACAATCAAATATTTATATATAAAAGATTATTTTGGTATAAGGAAACAGGTACGCATACGAGTCCTAACAGGTATACACGCGGATCCTCACTCGGATCTTATTGTTATACGGATAAAACCGAAGTATAAAAGAGAGGGGATATTTTCTAGAAGAGTGAGAGAGTCATTGTTCATCTGTTTTCAAATCTGAGCATCAGGGTTTCTTGGAGCGATTGTCTATCTCTCTTGTTTCATATCGAGTTCTTGTTTTTGTTTGTTCTAATTCATTTGTAACAAACAGATTGTATAAAGAAGATGAGTAGATTAGGATGAGTGTTTCGTAGTTGAGAGTAGATTAGGTTATTTGTAGTGAGTTTTCAGTTGTAAGTATATGAAAACCTTCTGTTTCTTTGTCATAAAAAGATATAAGAAATGAAGATGTTGGGAATGATTTGAGTGTCGTTTTTTAACAATGTTTTTTTATTATTTTATAATTTAGTTTGAGGGTTATATTTATCTATCTCTTACATTAGGTACTTTTGTTAAAAATATAAAATATAAAATAACTATATATGAAAAAAACAAAACCAACAATGTCATATAATAAAAAGGAAAGTGGTGTAAAAAAATCCACCAATAATATTTTATTCATACCAATAATATAACAAGTGAGATTCTTCAAAAGAAATAAATAAACGTAAGATGTTATAATAAAATGGAACTATGTTGTTATTTCTTGCTGAAAATAATAGAGCATTTGTTTTGTAATATACCAAAAGAAGCGAGTGAAAAAAAAAAAAACACAAACAGCACTACAATTACAAAATCAAGAAAGTGATGAAAATTGGGAAGAGGTGTTTAATGATGAACAACTTTCTTTAACTTTTGTTGATGAGAAGTTCCTTAATGAGTTCTCGGATAAAACCAAAAAATTCATAGAGAAATAAACCATGCTAACTTTCCCTCTTGATATGTATATAACTTAAAACCACAAGTAATTTAGTCCAATTTTCCCTCTTGGTTAGAATAAACATTCATATATTGAAAAATAACAAGTCTAGAGTTTGTATTTTGGGTTTTGGTATGATCCTACAACTATTGTACAACTACAAAGTTGTCAAACTTTCAAGCTTTTATCATCAACAAACCTTCAAAAACCTATGGCAGACATCTGATTACTCTAATTTTAATTTTGAGAAACCCATTAAAGAATGGATGCAACTGAAGGTCTATAGCTGATGAAAACTCAGGGAGATTATGAAATAAACTTTTGTTGTTTATAGCAATTGGATACGTTTAGGCAACGAAGTGAAATAATCACTAACCACTACACGTTGAATTTTGTAACATTCAAAAATACTAGGTAAACATTTCATTTTTAATAAGATAAAAACCATCCAATTCATTCCATCATAAGATAATCAGAGTATAAAATGTATTCTCAAAAAGTCAACGGTCAAAATCAACTCAACGGACCACCATGTTGTGGCAAGTTCATTTTCCACATCGTGGTCTCATGCAAACCAAAAAACGTGAAGGATTTTTCCACAATGTCGGGGTCATCACTCGACCATACCATGGGGACACTGACAAATCTAAAACCTTATTCAGTCTTTAATACATATAAGAGTGAATAAGGGTTTGCAAAGGTTGCTTTTGGGGTGATGGGGGTTGAGGGTGGTCGAAACCCTAGCCTTATTATTCCTTATATATGTCTCAAAGCCCGAAACTTAGGGTTTGAACCCCAACCGTCACCATGATGTGGTGAGAAGCCTACTATTTTGTGGTGTTTAAATGAACACCATCCCGTGGTACACACTCTGTCACGCTGTGGTGTCTGGATAAATCTCAAAATCGCAAAGACAACAAGCCAAAAACTTATACTTGAAAATCATGGTGTTACAACTTTTTTAGATTTCTTTTTAATAAGTGATAACTTTTAGATTCCTTACATTTCGAATTTACTTGACCTCTTTTTTTAAAAACAAATGATTGCCTTTAAGTAACATGCATTAAGTTCGACTGAAACTTGTTGAAATAGAAAAACAAACCATTTCCTGTTTTCGAGTCAAATTAAAAAGTTTAAGGGGTGTTTGGATAAATTGGTTTATAATTTATTAGCTTATTGCAGTGAGAATAAGTAGTTTTTACGAAAGTGTTTGTGGTGGGAATAAACAATAAGCAAGAGGGGAGATGTTTATTAAAATCAACGTATTTAGCTTATTCCTACCGCAATAAGTTGATTTTTAAGGATTCATATCAAAACACTTAAACTTAGCTTATTGTGGTGGGAATAAGCAATAAGCAATAGGGGGAAAACACCCTCTTTTTCCCTATCCAAACACCCTCTTAATAAAAAAAAATACAATCTTATTTAACGTGTTATTGTGCAAAAGGGGGAAAACATATTACATGATGTTATACGAGGTCTGGAATCCGAAGAACGGGTCAGTATATGTGTTTTTAATCCTAAATCTAACGATACTTACATAAACCTAAAACAAAAAATAGATTCCGATAAATGATCATAAAGATTGTCATTTTCTTGAAAACGGATCCTTTTCATCTTGGAAAAGCAAAAGTAAGAATAATTTTAATATTATTTATGCAAATAAAAGATTTAGCTTTAACTTTTGTAGTATAAATGGTCGATTAGTTTTTTTGTTAATAGGTTTATATTATAATTAGTAAAGAGGCTCGTGTGTTGTACGCGTCAAATTTTTTTGTTTCATTGTTTTGTTTGGTGGATCAGGTAGACGAATACTAATTACTAAAAGCGGTGAAATAAAAGTTCATTGCCCTTTGACACAGAACCATATCGGTGGAGTGAAACCCAAAAAATCAAGTACATTGTCATTTGACACAACCATATCAATCGAGTGAAACCCCAAAAAAAAATACATTGCACTTTACATCTATATTGTTGGTTTCCGCATCTAGAAATGCTTTGGCCCTGAAATCTATGTGCCAAATAAAAATTGTTGCAAAGCTCCCATGGAAATCAATTTCAAATGTGAAAAGGGGGTTTTGTTATCTTTTTTACTAAATTGTGTAAAACAAAACATATTCTATTACTGGAAATCAAAAAGAATGAAAGCATGCTGCTTTTATGGCAAAAAAAAAAAATACATTGTCAATGTTGGTACGGAATCTAATTTTAATTCCTTAACATATTCTAAAATAATATAAGCATAAAATATAAGACTAAATACAATAAATAACAATGTATTTCTACTTATTTGTTTTTATACCATCGTACTTTTATTTCATTCTAATACAACACTACACTTTCATATTATCAAATCATTTTACTTTGAAAACTCTAATTAATCAATTAATGAGTTGATACCCCCATCATGCTATCAAATAGCAGTAGCATAGAGTATGATATTTTACTATATTAAATACTAATTTATCTTACTGTATAATTTTCAATTACTTAATTGGCATGACCAAGTTGACTAATGTAGCGAACTTTGTTGACTGCACGTACCCAACTGCCCAAAACGACAAACTTTATTCCACAATCTCCCTGTGGTTTCATCAGAAACACCAGCGATTGTTTCTGTGGATTTCTGGTTAGGTCCAAGGCTAATGTTCTAGGGCAAAATCAGTTCACAAATGGAGGATCAATTGGTTCAAGTGATGATCGCGGTGCTAATCTCATCCCTAATCGCCCTTAGAGCTTACAGGAAAAACTCTCTAGATGTTTCAGGCGCATTCGCCGGTTTCTTTGTCATGGCTGTTCATCTCTCCGTCAATTACAGGTTAATTTGATTTCAAATTTGTGTATTGTAGTCTTCGCGTGTCTGTAATTTTGTTGTTTTGGTAGATTTGGAGCGATGTTGTTGGCTTTCTTCTTCACATCGTCGAAGCTTACTAAAATGGGGGAGGATAGAAAGCGGACTCTTGATGCTGATTTCAAGGAAGGAGGTCAACGAAATTGGTACTGTTTCTCTGTTTAATTCTCATTTTCTCCATGTTTTGCCCTAACGATGGTATGCTTGTTATCGATATTACTATAATATGACCAGTTCCAGTTCCAAATGTATTTATCGTTATCTCCGATTATGAACAAAGATGATGATTACCTTAGTTTGTTAACTGAATTTCTATTCGAGATTAACTTCTTAACAAGCAGCAAGTAGAGCCCTAATTTCAGAAATCAGAAATTGCAGAACTATGCTTAGCAAACTGTTTCCCAATGCATTACTCCACAATTACACATCCTCAGTTTCCAAATTACTTGAGATGTTTCTTGTCTCAAGCATTCTTGTTAATTTTTTATCTACTTTTGTTTCATTTATGCCTGTGGCCCCTGTTTCTATACAGGATACAAGTTCTATCCAATGGTGGAATTGCTTCAGTTTTGGTTATAGCATTTTGGGGGTTGACAACATCACAGGATACCTGTTTGGACTCAAAACAATCAAAGATTATAACAGCTCTTGTTGGTGGCCTGATTGGTCATTACTCATGCTGCAATGGAGACACCTGGTCCTCTGAGCTTGGAGTACTCAGTGATGAACAGCCTCGGTTGATTACTACATTTAGGGTGAGACCTTTTTTTTTCTTTCATGAATCAAAATCTCTCTTGTTCTCCTCAAATGTAATGCTTCCCAAACTTTCCAAGATTTCCATGACTTGATCCTTTTGAATGATTCTTGTTTAACAGCCTGTTCGTAGGGGTACAAATGGTGGAATAACAAAAGCTGGACTTGAAGCAGCTGCAGCAGCAGGAAGTGTGATTGGATTAGCATTTATTTTACCAGGATTTTTCACAAAAAGTTGCACCAATGATCCCTTCTTGAAGCAGCTATTTGTCATACCTCTTTCTGCTATAGCAGGACTTGCAGGAAGCTTAATCGATTCCATTTTAGGAGCAACTCTGCAGTTTAGTGGATTCTGCAGTGTTCGTAACAAGGTATTTAATTTTCTTGGTTAAAGTAGACAAAATGCAGTACAAACTGTTCTGTTCTGTTCTGTTCTGTCCTATACTGTACTTTCATCGTTTTATCGATTTAGTCATTTATCTGTCTTATGTAGTGATTGGTTAAAACATTAGACTTTGGTTTTTTTTTTGTTAGGTTGTATCGAAACCGGGACCCACAGTGAAGAGGATCTCGGGACTCAGTATACTTGACAACAATGGTGTGAATCTCGTATCGGTATTTTTAACTTCAGTGCTTACCTCTTTCATCTGCTTATACATCTTCTGAATGTACAATTTTACCCTTTTAATCTGCTAAATATTGCCATAATGCCATTATCCATGTTGCACCCTTCATTCACATATCATGTTAAATTTTATGGCTTTTATGAGTTTATGTTTGTTACGTACAAACGGAAAATGAAATTTACACGATACTCAAGTTTGATAATCAAGAAAAAAAAAAAACCTATTTCATCCCCAAATAACTAGCAATGAATGTAAAAAATATTTTCACTAGATTTATTATGTAAAATTTAGAAACCAAGATGTTTAATAGATTGTTTGATTTATTACGTTAAAACAATGAATCGGTTGTTTGAGTCATTGTTGTTTAATAGATTAAAGATCGTTTCCTCCTCTTTAGAATTTATTCTTTTAAAACCCTAGAAAAAATTTCATTTTTGTTCCAATATCACATGCATAGCCTAATGAAATGTACATTAAGCTAAAATCGGGCCTTAAAAATTTTGTGCATCTAACTCGAAATCATTGCAAATGGCATGAAACGTTGTAGGGTATAACAACTTTATCCATTCATCTGGAATTAAACAAAGCATCGCGACACATAAGTGAAGTGTCCTTGTGATCTTCTGCCTTTAGATGACATAAACATGATGTTCATGATACGCGTAAGATGTTTTTTCCCCCAAGTGGTTTAAATCTACATGAATAAATTGAAGAAGTTAAAGAGAATTAAAATATGTGCATTTAGAAATCACGTTTTTCATGTGAAACAAAACTAAAATATTAGCCGTATTACCTAATATTTTAACAAAGAGAATTAAAATAGACGAATTATCTAACATAACACGGTAAAATAGTAACTTTTACAAAAGGGAATAAATATGTATTCTATGAAATAGCATTTTGCTTCTTAAAATAGCTTTTACAATGATAAACTGAAAATCGGGGGTTCTAATGATCTAGCAGTGGAAATTAATATATATATATATATATATATATATATATATATATATATATATATATATATATATATATATATATATATATATATATATATATATAAAAGTTCAAACCTTTTAATATTCAAAGTTTGGCTACAAAACTTTAAGGAATTGACAACTTTTATCATTTTTTTAAAAACTTGTTAATTTCAACTCCTTTAATTTTTTAGCCATTTTAACACTTTTAGTCCTTACAGTATAAACCTTTATATTTTTTCATAAAAAACATAAAAAAAATGGTCAGGGGCAAAGTCCGGGTTTATCCTCATATTTAATATTTTTGTTTTTTCCTGTCCCTTGCACTTTCTGTCGTTTGTCATTTTCTTCTTTTGGTATATTTTTATATATTGGTCCGCATATTTTTTTTTTTTGTTTTTTATCGTCTCTATCTATCCGTCTCCGTCTGTAAAAATTAGGGGTTGAATTATCCCACCTGCAACTTTTAACAAAAACGACACTCAAATCAGACGCACACAGCTCATGCGGAGCATTGACAATATATCTAGTTAAATACAATAATACCAAATATAATATTAAATTCGAGATTATATTTAAATTTATTAGTGTTCAACTAACATCAATTGATTTTTATGTTGTAATTTTTCCTTGATGTTAGGTTTAAGTCTTGTTGTGAACATGTGTGAAATTAAAGATTATTGTTCAATATATATATATATATATATATATATATATATATATATATATATATATATATATATATATATATATATATATATATATATATATATATATATATATATAAATATTTTTTTTATTATATCGTATAAAATAATAATAATGTTTTATATTAACTTTTCAATCTCATATAACTATTTTTCAAATTGATTACAATGGCTTAGTTACATAATTTTGTTTACATGGAATATATAGGGTATTCATCTAATTTCATAATAATTTAAAGTCTTTATTATTAGTTTATAACACTTTAAAGTTGATGAATTCCCTTATTATATTACTAACTAGTTTATAACTCCATCGGAACCACGGGTTATAAAATTAATTAAATTTCATAATAAAAATTTATAATTATTAATCAATTATTTTAAATAAATTATTCATTAAGAGACATACAAAAAATTTGAAGTTATTATAACTTCATATTTAACATATAATTAAAAAAATGTAAATTTGAATTTTAAAATGAGTTGTCTAATATATCTACATGACATAATAATGAGAAGTTATATTAAAAAAAACACTAACAAAAAAAATTAAAACTATTCGTTTATTAAAATAATGATTAAATTCATTAAAACATGATTATATCTAGGCTTGTAGAAGCAGGGCCCATAACAACCCAAAAGAAAAGTCGTATCATTTGCAAGGGTGGATCCCAGGGTATCCCGGATACCCTTCAAAAAAAATCGGTTGTTTAAATTTTTTAGAAAAAAAAATTGTTTTATGTAGTGTAAATATACACATCCCTTCACTTATAAACACAAACAAATATTTAATTTACTGGTTAAAGTGCTGGCTTAATGAAATAAAGGTCTCAAGTTCAATTTTTGTTCCTTACAAATTATTTGTTTACATATCTTTTATTTTTCCAACTATTCTATTCTTTTATTTTCCCAACTATTCTATCACACATCATCAAACATATATAAACTTAGTTATTTTCATCTATTATATAAGGTTGTTATCCTCATGCTTTATTTGATATCCACTTTAAGTCCACATCAATTGAAGTATCAAAAGATACTTCAACTTTATGTTTATATAACAATACTTGAAGTTAGCTAACGATTCCATTAAGGTTTGGGTTTAAAACCAAAACCAAACTAGGAAACCCAAGTACAAATTGAAAACCGAAAAACCAAACCAATGGTATTGGGTTCAGTTTGGTTTAAAATTTTCAAAACTGAGGCTGTCGGTTTTGGGTTCAGTTTTAGGAAAAACTAACCCGAGTCGTCTCATGCTCAGCCGTTGCAGTGATACCCAGGAAAAAAAATTGGGATATCCCTTTGCTTTGAGCCTTGCTCCGCCACTAATCATTTGTATGTTATAAAACCACAGTTAGGGTTTTTACTTCCTTTTAACAGTTTCACTTTATGCAAGCATTTGACCACGACGAAATCGGAGGTTAGTGAAGCTTTGTCTTCTTCAAATCATTTCTCTATTTTATTATTATTATTATTATTATTATTATTATTATTATTATTTTGAGTTTATTCTTAGTTCTGCTCATTATCTTTGTAAAAAGATAATAAAATGGTTTTCGAACTCTTAAAATAGGGAGTTGCAAGAATAACCCACGTAGCTCCAGTTGCTGAAGATTTTCAAGAATCGATGTGTTACTCTTCAACCGAAGAAGCTACAACTACGTTTTTATTAAAGATAATTTGCTAAAATAAAATATAAGAATTAAACCATAAAAAACGCAAAATATAATGATTTTTTTATTATATTACCCTTACAAATTTGACATGCTATTCTCTTTAGCTAAACCTTTTTTCTGTGATTCATTAGGATGACATGTAATACACAATTCGATTATTTTATATTTATATTTAAATAGTTCAAACTTCAACGTTAACATATCTTCACCATAAATATATAGCCAAAGCCAACCTATATTGATTGTTTTTGTCCTTGCAATAAGACAATGACTAGGTAACCCACACCCAACACGTGCACATGACACTTGCACATTGATGCACTAAAAACAAATGAAGTTAAATTTCATCCACTCCAATGTCTTTCCTATATTAAATGAAATTCGACAATTTGGGAAAATTGTTAAAAATTTGATGGCCGATCTTAAATGACGATAACCAAACATCTTTAAATGCATGTCGCTGTTGTACCAAGTTTTAAAAATAAGCTTTCTAGTTGAACTGGTTTGTTCACCGGTTCAACTGTGATTCAACCAAGAATTTTCTTACCTTGATGATGGCGTACCTCAGTTTTCGAGTTGTATACACTCTGAAAAGGTTCTAACTTGTTTTGAAAATAAGTTGTTTTATTAACAACTAAATGAAATCCAATCATACAGATCCAATAAACCGGTTTAAACGGCTTTTTACAGGTTTTATCACACCACTTCAAGCCGGTTTTTGAAGAAACTATCTGGTTCAATTAGGTTTAGTAATTGATATAAAACCAATCATTATTGAGCTATTCTTGTCACCAGTTCCTAGTCCAACCAATTCGAACTAGTTTTAAAACATTGTATTTTACTATATTTTCCCCAACTAAAATTAAAAAAGTTAATCCTTTCTAAGAGATTAAAAGGGTATAAGGTCGACTGGTATACATTGCATGAGATGGTCCGTGGTCTAAGTGGCCACGAACTACGACCGTGCACACCACCCCGGTGGTTCGTGGTGGGTCGTGGTCGTGGCCTTCTGTCCAGACAACGATTCTAAACGGCCAATAGCCTTCATTTCTTGCATTAAATCTCCTTTTACCTTTCTTCCCCTTCTAACGGCTATTTTGCAATTCTTCAATATTTACCTATAAACACTACCACTCATCTTCTTATTTTTCATCCAATTCTTCTCCCTTTAGATATATTTTTGTTGTTTGATCCTTTAAAAACCATGCCTCCTAAAAATAAGAAATGGTCAGAAGAGGAAGAAGAGAAATTAGCACAAGCATAGGTGATAGTTTCGGAAGAAGACGTTGGTCAAACTTCCGGTTCTTTTTGGAGAAATGTTGAAAGTGTTTTCCATGGTTTAATGAATTGTGCAATTCGAAATGTTGATGAAATATGCTTGAAGTGGCACGATATGAAGGTCAAATGTTCTGAGTTCAATGGAATTTACAACTTTGTAATAAACAACGTTCATGAAGCCGATATCGATGCGGTTAATGTGGTCATGGAACAATATAAAAACACAAATCATCAACGTTTTAGACATGTTAAAGTTTGGCAAAAATTGAAAAATTCCCCAAAAATGGAATAACCTTGCTTAAAAAAAACACAAATTAGAAGTTTGGTATTTTTAACTTTTTAATTATTAATGTTATTTTTATTGTTTTTTTTTACTTAATGTAATTTTTAGTTTTAAAGTTGTGTTTTTTTCGTTTTAATTAATGTAGTTTTTAATTAATGTAATTTAGTGTTTTAAATTAATGAAAATTAGTATTTAAAAAAATAATTATATGAATTTTTTAATTAAATTTAATTAAAAAAAATGAGATGGAATGGTGTGTTAGTGGTAAGTATCCCATGTTAGTGATAGAGGAATGTGGTACTGATGTGACACCCACCACATATGTGGTATGTGGTGGGTATAATGGATGATCTAACAACACAGTCAAGTGTGTAATTAAAATTGTATAAATAAAACAACACTATAAGGTTTCATAAAAGGTTGTTCACTTTAGCTACAATACTTTTATATATTTGCAGGTTCGGCCCCTCTGTAGAAAACAAATTACAAAGATAGACCATATGATTTATAAAAAGGTATATGTGTAATTGTTTTTTTTTTTTACAAAAATAGTTAATGTGTTTAAGAATTTCATATATTTATAGGTTTGATCTCTATATAGAAAATAATTTTCAAAATCTGCCATGTAGTTTATAGAAAAGTCCATATGCATATTTTTTTTACAAATATGATCCATGTATTTAAAAAAAATTACAAAAATGATCTCTATGAAAAAATTACGGCTTACATCTCCTGCATAATATAAGATAATAAAATATAAATTTACTATTTGCTCTGATTCTTATTAATTTTTAATATATAAAGTGTTGTTATAATTGTTTTATAAAATGTTAGTCATAATAAAAGCTGGTCAAATAACAATATATTAAATAGACCACACTAATTATCTTTTCGACAGAAAATTATTATTGTCATAACATTTATACAAATTTAAATTAATTACTTTTTTTAATATATAATATAGTTTTATGGTAGACTGTCGATGTATTTGTTAAAAACTAACCACCTAACTTCCAAAAAATCAACGATTTTGTCAGATTTTAAAGACAATTCAACTAAAAAAACTATCATGATAGTTTAACACGTCAACAAAAATAATAATTTACTATCAATAACCATACAAATACATTGATTAAAAAAATCATCATAGCTTTCATTATAGATTTTATCTGTTTACTATAGTATAATGTCTGAATGGATAATGTGCTGAATGACTAATAATGTCGGTATGTATAATGCACCATATACACAAAATGACTATTTTACCCTCGCATTCCAAAGAAACAGGTGATTATAAAATAATAAAGAATTGCCACATCCAATCCAAATAAGCAAAATCCAAAGAGATAGTTTTGTTCATAAAGGGGAAGGGCTTACTTACAACAGGCTTCTTAATTCTTACACTTTCCAACCCAATATATATATATATATATATTATATATAGACGAGAGGTCAAAACATTGCAAATAATTTTGCAACAACACAAGTATCAATAATACCAAAATGACCATAATGCCACTTACCTACCCACTCAATCTGTTTGCATATTTTGGTCTCCACTTTGTTCTCCCTTTCACAATTTCACCCCCACCTCCTTCTAATCGAAGCAGATGCTGACAATCAACAAGATTCGGATCACCAGACCCATTTTCGTCATTTCCCAATAAGGACGTGAGTGACTGCAGCACACTGTCCTTCATACACTCCCGCCTGTACTCCAAAGTCATACTTGCCAGCTCATAATTCTCCACTACAGGCTGCGGAGCACTCTGCAAAAGGGTAAAAACGTAAATCAAACAACAAAATCAAAACCTAATTTTTTATAAGATCAAAAGAATAAGATAAAAAGACTTATACCTCAAGAATCCAGCCAACATATTTCACATTGTTGACATGCTGATTCACATCCAAATCACTCCACTTTGGCTATATAATATTTTTCAAAATAAAACATTTCAAAAACCACTTCACCTAATTTATAAAAAGATTTAAAAAAAAAAAAATGAAACTTTACTTACAGTTAGACCATTACGAACATGGTCAGCAGTATTGTCATCGAATTTTGGCAACTTAATGTTGTCATCATCAACAAGTGGAGGCGTGTCTACAAAGAATTGCACAATTTCAGCTCGGACTTCATCAGGTATTTTAGATAACCTCCTTGTAACTTTATTCATCATCACCCAATTGCTAAAAAATATAAAACAAGACACCCTTTTAATTAAAATCATCAACCAAATATACAATAAGATAAAAAAAGAAGCAAAATTTTAGTTAAAGTTCCAACCTTGAAGCTCTTGTTAGTATTTCTCCAGTTTTATAATCGCGTATCATCCAATCACGTCGCATACCGTTTTTCCCTGAAGCAGCGACCCATGTATCTACTTGGACCATATCGCCCCTGAAATTAATTCGAATTTGTAAAAATAGAAAAGGGTAAAAGTGTCAAATTTATCACATAGATGAATAGAGTTTATAGCTTGCTTACCAAGTGGGATAACGATCTACCAGAACTTGCATCTTTGTCACCACCCAAAATAAATTCTTTTTGCACATCTCAGGAGTCGAACCAAACCCATCACCCAAGAGTCCAACGTGTTTTACATGATTAAGAGCTGTTTCCTGTCAAATCAACACAAAAGGGTAGTTTAGTAAAATCACACCCACACAAAGAAGTGAGTACGGGAAATCTCTTGATACCTGCAAATGATTCATTAACGTTTCTACTGATGCAGTTCGATCAGCCCCTATTTCATAAGATCTAATGGAAAAGTTTTGACGAAAAACAAACCCATCTTCAACCATTCTACCTAAACCAAAAGGATCAAGATCAGAAAGCATGTCAGGGCGTTTAGTTTTCCAATCTAGCATCATCCATTGCTTCTCAGCAGCCAAGAAAATGGTTGTGATAGCAGCAAGTAGCATGCTCCAATCAGGCAGTTGATTGATAAAAGTTCTTGGAGCAGTTGATGTTGGATTATCATCATTCTTCAGGTTGAGCCCATCCATCACACCTATTCTAGTACCATTTACCTTTGTAGGAGCCTGTGCATTAGTCTTAACTTGTAAACCTCGGGATTTTGTCTTCATTCCATGCATATCAACACTACCCAAACCACCTCCATGCTTACTGGAATTCTTGCCACCGGATTCAGGTTGTGAGGAAGAAATCGGAAACAAAGATGCAGTTGCAGCTGTGGCAACCATGATTTGCAGATTCTAATGTGTATTTCTCTCAAATATAGTTCCAACACCGAAAAGAGTCGCCAAGGTTGAAGAATAATAGCTCAAAGCTGATGAATGAATGAAGAAGACAGAAAATTAGATACAAATATACAAGTTACACTCGTTAAAGTGGTTATGAGGTGTCGCAATTCCCTACGAAATGGGAGAGGTCATAAATTTTGAACCATAAAGTTGGTGACCAACACGTATTATACACGAACTGTTCATACATGTCCCACCGACAACTATTGGGGGGCCAGGTGTGGTTCGTTTTTTCCCTTTAACACGTTTCACTCGAGAAGCATCAACGCAACAAGATAATTGGTTTACAAATGTTACAGTAGAAATAATCAAACAAAAAGAACAGAGTGCAATATAGCCATCAATTTCATATTTGATTCGAAAAAAGTACCGAGAGGACGTTGATTTGTCGGATACGGTAAAAGGAGAAAGATGAGAGACGGAGAAAAAAATCTCACGAAAACGTGTTCGTGTCAACAGATCTGAAACATGAGAACCATAAAAACCTAACTTTTAAAAACAAAACTCACATCACATTTCACTTGAAAAGTCGAATCGGATCATACAGACCACTCCATTTCCCAAATCGATACAATACAATGTTTTGGGAGACAAAATCAAAATCACATTAAAATGGAAAATTATTGATCAGAAAAATAGAGTAATGCATGTAAACCGTAAACGTACCTTTCTCTGAGCTTAAGAAGAATCGAGAGCACGTATACTTAATGCCAAAGAGGCGCTGTCATTGTTGATTGATCTGCAAACCCTAACAGCGGGATTAAAAAACCAACCAAAGATGAATAAAATGAAAAACTAGGATTTTCGATGGTTGATTTGTTTTGATTTTTGAAGCTTGAAGTTTGTTTGGATTTTTGAAATTGGGGGAGAAATTTGAATTTTCTTCTCTGATTCTTCGTTTCGAATAATAAAAAATTTTGCGTTGTCTACGGATAGAAAGCGAGAGTGAGAGAGATGGCCAGCGGTATTTTGGTGGTAGGGATTATTTGGCCTCCAGCGACTTTCTTTTCTTCTACAAAACTCATTGCACCTTTTTTTCCTTCTATTTACAACAATGCCATCCTATGCCATCTATGTGCTTTTCTATGTTGTGATATCATATATGAATTTTAATTGTTTACAACATGTTATGAAGTAGAATCGTAACTAAAGATTATCACATACTCTTGTGTTGTGCTATCGATGAAGCTTATCTCATACGTGTGTTGTGCTACTTATGGTCTTGTATATTTGTAATGTGTATATAGAACATGAATACATCTAACTACCACATCATTTTAGTTTATTACATTAAACTAGGTGTTATTGATCATGGCTAATGTGATGTTTCTTTTAACTCAATGGATTTACTACATCAAAAAACTTAATGGTTCAGCTATATTACTATATACACTAGGGGGAGAATATGTCAGTTTGGGTCAGTTTTGACCTATAACCAATCACATCGGTTTTCAAATATTCCAAACCAAACCCAAAATGAGAGCTAAAATTCGTAACCTTCTTCTGAATAGGAAGAACCGTTTATATATTAAACGATATTAGGGTTGGGTTGTCATTAGTTGCTTTAGAAGCAAGTCAAGATAATCCAGCGGGACCCCAGCCAGGGGCTCTGCCCCTTAGACCCCGCTAGGGGCGCTGCCCCTTTGGAAACCCGACCAGTCGTCGAACCGGCTTCTAATTCAATCTTATACATGCGTGCACTCCACACAACGTCGTACATATATTAGCGTACAAATTATGAAGCTTCTTAGCTCACATGTCAGTTACAGTTACTTAAAATGACATGGTGACACTAAAATCACCAACAATCCTCCCCCATTTTACTGTAACCCTTGAACAGACATAACCTTATCAAACAAACCAAACTAGTACATAATGAAAATATCGAAACGATTGAATTTCCACTTGGTATCATACATTTGCAAATACTCGAGAATCAGAGTGTTCTAAGAATTGAACCCATCAACGCATTTGAATACCAGAAAGTAAAATACATACTAGTTTATTGAATTTCTAGCAAAATACAACTTGACACTATTATAAAGTCGTGTGTCCCAATCCTCTCATGATCGTATCAAGGTCGAGTCCACAACCTCTTGAAATGCGGCTACACTTCACAATCACATAGGTAACTCCTTTCCATGTATATGCACATACATTTATCAAAGGAATTATTAAGAAGTTAAACTTCAACCTGGCTAACTTGCAGAACCGAACACATACCTGGGATGAATAATTCATGTGTTCCAATCTATAAGTATGAGCTTTCCACATTGAATTCAACTCCTAACATTATATTAGGAGGGAATTGGATGTCTTATCATTACAGAATTAAATGGACTTTAATCCCATTCCGATTACAGTCTTGTGCACTAAGTCTCTTGTCAGACCTTTAGTCAAGTGATCTGCCAAATTTTGCTGCGATTTCACAAACTCAACCGAAATCACACCATTCATGATTAGTTCTCTAATCATACTATGTCTAACACCTAGGTGTCTAGACTTGCCATTATAAACCTGGCTAATGGTTATATGCCTTAGCCAAAGCGGTTGCACTATCACAAAGGATAAAAATATGTGTTATCAGTTTAGAGCACAAAGGAATCTCATAGACTAAATTCATAAGCCACTCTGCTTCTTTACCAGCAGTTGCTAACACAATCAACTCAGATTCCATTGTCGAGTTTGTAATGCAATATTGCTTCTTGGAAGCCCAAGAAATGACACCTCCCCCAAGCAAGAATACCCAACCAGAAGTTGAGAAATGGTCCTCCATGTTGGTTATCCAACTCGCATCTGAATGACCTTCTAAAACCGAAGGACTTCCTAAATAACTCGATCCATAATCTATGGTTCCCTTGAGATAATTGAACACTCTATTTACTGTTTGCCAATATTGAGCATTTGGATTACTAGTATACCTGCTCAACCTACCCATATCGAAAACAATATCATGTAAGGTACTTGTCATGGTGTGCATCAAGCTACAAATAGTCTTAGAGTATTCCAATTGTGAAATGGAAACGCCATTATTTGGCATTAATTTCACACTTGGATCCATAAGAGTACTCACAGGAGAACAAGCGGTAAAATTAAACCGTTTGAGAATTTTCTCAATATAATGACTTTGAGTCATTACCAATCCTTTGTTCATCCTCTTAATTCTTATTCCAAGAATTACATCAGCCTCTCAAATCTTTCATGGAAAACTTGGATGATAACAATTTCTTTGTTTCATCCACTTGATTTTGGTCGGTACCAAAAATCAACATGTCATCTACATATAAGCAAATGGTCACTCCAGCTCTAGTAGCATCATCAAATCTACTATAAACACATTTGTCACATTGGTTTGTCTTGAAACCAAAAGATAAAATCACTTCATCAAATTTTTTATGCCATTGTTTAGGCGCTTGTTTCAGCCCATACAAAGATTTGACAAGTTTATAAACCATATGCTCTTTACCGGGCATAATGAAACCTTCAGGTTGTTTCATGTAAACTTCCTCGTCAAGATCACCATTTAAAAAGGTTGTTTTCACATCCATTTGGTGAATAACCAGATTGTGGATACTTGTCAAGGCAACCAACAATCTAATAGTAGAAATACGTGCAACTGGAGCATACGTATCAAAATAGTCAATATCGGGTTTTTGTCTAAAACCTTGAATGAATAACTAGGATTTGAATTTGTTAATAGTCCCATTAACATTCATTTTCTTTTTGAAAATCCATTTGCAAGCAAGATGTTTAGAACCCGGAGGCAAATCAGACAAGACCCATGTGTTGTTCTCAAGAATTGATGACATTTCATCATCAATTGCTTCTTTCGAAAAGGCACTATCATGAGACTTTATGGACTCTTGATATGTCTTAGGATCATCTTCAATACTATATAAATAAGTGTATTCAAAATTAATTTCATCTCTTAAACCTTCCACCAAATATAGTTGGAAGTCGGATCCGAAATTTTTCGCTATTTGGCCTCTTTTTCTTCTACGAAGCTCTTGTGGTTCTTGCACGATACCATCATCTTGACTTTCTGGATTTTGCTCTTTATTAGCACCAAAATTCAGATCCTTAGGCCTTTGAATCGATGAAAACCGCATCTCATCAACAATTGCATTCTGTGATTCGATAACAGTGTTAATTGAAATCGAATCATTAGGTTCTATTACATAAAACCTATATGCCTTGGAATGTTCAGCATATCCAATGAATATGCAATCAATTCCACGTTCTCCCAAAATTTTCTTTTTGGGCTCGGTAAGTTTTACAACTGCCCGACATCCCTATAACCGAAAATAACTCAAATTCGGCTTTTTCTTGAACCAAAGTTCATATGGGAATGTTTCGTTCCTTTTGTTTGGAACCCTATTTAACAAATAGCAGGCCGTTAACATGGCCTCTCCCCAGAATCCTTCACTCAATACCGAGTATGATAACATCGAGTTTACCATTTCCTTTAAAACTCAAATTTTGCGTTCAACAATACCATTATGTTGGGGTGTGTAAGGTGTCGTGGTCTCATGAATGATACCCACTTATTGAAAATGGTTGTTTTGTTACTTTTGTAAGCATGCATGTTTTATATTTATCGGATGTCATATCAAAGGCTGGAATTAATCCATCTTTTGACATCTCATGCATCCTTCTAAAGTTGGCATGACCTAATCTTACATGCCAAAGCATAGATTTATCAACATTAGAAGCAGAAGATACAAATTCAGAATTTTGAATAGGTAATAATTTGTCAACAATATTCAAACGAAACATTCTATTATTTAAATATCCAAAACCAACAAACATTCCACCCTTAGACAAAACAAACTTATCCGACTCAATAACTTGTTTAAAACCATCATAATTTAAACAACTATAGCTAACAAGATTCTTGCGAATCTTGGGAACAAACAAAACATCAAATAACCTAATTGTCTTTCCATAAGTAAATTCAAGACACACGAAACCTAAATCACTAATAGGAATAAAAGAATCATCTCATATTTTCAGCACCGACCCATCTTCAAGCGGAGTTAATGTTTCAAACATCCATTTATCCTTGCATACATGGTTCGTTGCTCCGAAGTCGATCCACCAAGCAACATCATCATCCTGCACATAGAATGATTCAGGGATAAATGAAACATAGTAAACATAATCCTGATTAGAATTATCAAAGTTAGTCAAAAACCGACCTCCTTTAACTTGGGCCGAAGACCCGTTCACTTTCCCATTAGTTCCACTATTTCCAGCACCATTGTTGCCTAAATTCTCACGACAATCACGCTTGCAATGCCCAATTTGATTGCACCTCCAACAAACCATATCCTTTCTATTTTTTTGGAGTTCCTTGGGACATGTTCCTGCTTGTGTTTGTCATGTCCTTTGTGGTTATGGTTCCTTAGTTTATTTTCAACCATATGAACCCAGGGCTGTCCAGGTTCAACTTTTCCTTTGGGTTTTTCAAATTTGTCACTTTCCTTCGCACGAAGAGATTTTTCAATATGAATGTAACTAGCAAGTTCAACCAAGGATAGTTCCTCCTTTTGATGTTTCAAGTTATGTTTGAAGTCTTTCCAGGATGGAGGCAGTTTTTCAATAATGGTTGGCACAACAATGGATTCATCCATATTTATACGGTGCAGTTTAAGTTGATAGTATATGCAAAGGAGTTCATTGTATTATTTAGTAACAGACCTTGAATCGTCAATCTTATACTTGTTAAAATCACTGACCAGAAACTTCTTGCTAGAAGCATCCTCAATGATATATTTCAACTCAAGGGTGTCCCACAACTCTTTGGCACACAAGGCTTCACTATGGATACCAAATAAAGCATTGGACATACCGTTCAGAATGTGACCTTTGCAGATGTAGTCATCATTGTCCCACTTATGTCTCCTTCTTATCTCTTCAATTGTCTTAACAACACGTTCTTCGCGCTCTGCTGGTCTAGGAGTAGTCAGCACGTATGTTGCCTTCAGAGTAGTCAGCATGAAGTGAGTCTTCTTCTTCCGTCGCCTGGAGTCAACACCTTCGAACTTCTCCATCTTTGCAAACTTAGTGGTCATCTTACAGATTGAATCACCTATCTCCAGGAAAGCTTAGGGTTTATAGTGGAGATCTGGATACCAACTTGGATTGTGAGAATGCTTTCCGAACTGATATTTCTACCTTATGCCTGGGTTGCAAGAAATTCAGCCTTGGATAATCCAAGTGGACACTTACGATTCTAGACACAGAAATCGTAAGCCAATTTGCTAGAGAGATTCTGTGAGAGTTTGATGAAAATGAGAGCTAAAATTTTTAACCTTCTTCTGAAGAGGAAGAACCGTTTATATATTAAACAAGATTAGGGTTTCTTCAGGGTTTGGCCGTCATTAGTTGATTTGGAAGCAAGTCAGGATAATCCAGCCGGACCCCAGCTAGGGGCTTTGCCCCTTGGACCCTGCTAGGGGCGCTACCCCTAGACCCCGCCAAAGGGGCGTTGCCCCTTTGGAAACCCTAGACCCAGGGGCGCTGCCCCCGGAACCCCGAGTAGTCGTCGAACCGGCTTCTAATTCGATCTTATATATGTGTGCACTCCGCACAACCTAGGGGTGGCAATTCGGGCAGTCGTTTCGTGTTTTCACCTAACACGACACGACATGAATTTCTTTTCCGTAACCCGAACACGAAATGAAACGATATCGTGTTTTTTTCTGCTAACACGAACACGAACCAATTAAAACACGAAAACACGAAATTACACGACAACATGACAAAAAACATAAAATAATCATTTCATCGATAAGTTCTCTTAAAAAGTCAGCAAAACACGACAAACATGACTAAAATTAACCCAAAACAACACGACAAACATGACATAAACTAATACTAAAATGTTTCAAACTTGTGACATCAAAAAATCCATTAAAAACTATGCCTCCATCGATTCATGCTTATTGTTCCTGCTAGCATCTTCCATAATATCATTGGTAGGCTCTTGTAAACACAATTCTTCATCACCTACAAAACAATAACATATATATTGGTTAAACACTAAACAAAAAGTTTTCAATAGCTGTAAAAAACACAATCACCTTTAATTCCAAAAAGCCAATCTTTTGAACAAATTAGAGCCTCAACAATGTCATGATTCAACGAACTTCAATATTGATCAAGTACACGACCACCATTACTAAAGGCAGATTCGGATGCTACGGTGGAGACCAGAATGCTCAAAATATCTCGAGCCATGGAAGTAAGTTCCGGATAACGATATTGATGGGCTTTCCAAAAAGAAAGAACATCCAAATCTTCACATATGTCACTTCTTGGCTCATCTAAGTACATCTCCAATTGTGATTTTTGAGACAAAGCAAACTCTTTACTTTCGTAATCCTTGAACTCCTAAAAAAATGTACAAAGTTATAAAATTAACTAATAAGAACAATAGATTCATTAATAAGAAAAAAAAAACTTACTTTTAACATGTCTTGTGTGCTCTTACTTAGCAATGTGTCACTTTTCTTTTTGTGCACAACTTTACTTGTATCACATGTTGATGTTGCTGATGATCTACAATTCACAGGTGGTTCAGTACTATAATCACTAATATACTCACTAAAAAGATCATGTAGCTTCTCCCGTATACGATCACTGTGGACAGCAAAACTGTTACCATAGAGTTTTTTGTAAGTAAACTCAACATACTACAGTTTATAACGTGGGTCCAAAACTGCTGCCATGGCCAAAATCATACTATACTCTGACCAATACTTCGAAAATTTCTCATACATTTTTTTAGCCATATTCTTCATAAATTTATCTGAACTTTCCATTTCTTCTCTTAAAGTTTTTTCAACCATGGAAACTCAAGGAAAGTATAAGTTTGCTGTAGAATATTTATTTCCCGAAAATATGCATGTAACTTCATAAAATACCTCTAAAAATCTGAAAATCTTCTCTAACTTATTCCACTCATCATTACTTGGACAATCCAAATAACTAGAATCACTCAATTCTAAATGAAAAAAAGCACGACAATAGAATATAGCACTTTCAATCATAAGATAAGTAGCATTCCATCTCGTAGGAACATCTTGCTGCAAACCCTTTTTTGGATTCAAATTAACATATTTTACACAATCAATAAACCTTCCTTTCCTTACTTGGGAACCCTTTATGTACTTAACAGATTCTCGCAATTTAACAATCCCTTCATCAATAGCTTTCAACCCATCTTGCACAACTAAATTTAACACATGAGCACAACATCGAATATGAAAATAATCTCCGTTGCTGCGAAGTGCACCTTCATTACATAAATGACCCTTTAGTAAATTGACAAATGTATCATTACTTGAAGCATTATCTAACGTGATAGTGAATAATTTTTTTTCGATCCCCCATTCAGATATCAAAGAAGATATCTTTTCAGTTAAACATACCCCATTATGTGGAGGTAGCATATACTGAAAGATCAAAATTCTCTTTTGCAATTTCCACTCCTTGTCAATGAAGTGACACGTAACACACAAGAAACCATCTGTGTTAATTGAAGTCCATAAATCTGAAGTTAATGAAACTCTACCTTGATGCAATTCTAACAGATTCTTAAGTCTCACTTTTTCTCTCTTAAATAAGTTCTTGACATCTGATTTTGCAGTGTTTCTGGTAATGGTGGTCACATTTTTATTTAGGTACTGAAATATTTCCCTAACTAAGTCCTTTTCATCCCTTCTAGGACACTTGTTTATGTGATTTCTCAAGCTACCTGTCCCATTCTTAGTTTCACAAATATATTTTTTGAGCACCTCTTACATTGTGCCCTTTCCCTTCCATCAGAACCAATTGGAAGTCTTTGAAAAAAAAAATTGAGCACCTCTTACATTGTGCCCTTTCCCTTCCATCAGAACCAATTGGAAGTCTTTGAAAAAATTTCCATACCTTAGACCATCTTTCTCTTTCCATTGTAATGTTACCTTCCTCACCTTCGACTTTAACATCTACCTCCAGAACATCAATGCCATCGATATCTTCTTCAAGTTCAGCATCCTAAAAACCAAATAGAAGGTAAAAATCAGAAAGAAAATAGAAGTAGAGAAATAGAACCTTTAAAAGCAGAACGATGGAAAATATGGAAGTAAAAAAATAGAAAAGTTAAAAGCAGAAAAATACCTGTGGAGCAACATCTGCAGAAGGTGTGTGTGTTTTACCAAGCTTTGCTTTCTTCATATTAAAAAAGTGATAAACTGTTGGTGCAGATCATACAAGTTCAGATAAAAAAAAGAAGAACAAACAAAAAGATACAAAGCATAAAAATATGATCAAAAGGCAAGTGTATACAAGTTCATAAAAACATAAGCATAACTATACGTGAGAAGTCCAAAAATAAAAGCAAAGTTTGAAATAGTAAAACAGATGCCATTTTTTTTTCTATAAAGCATAATAGCATACATATCTTGTAACCGATTTAAGAGGAAAGAAAGTTCACAAATACAATAAACATATAAACAGATCTTGTATTCAATTTCAGAAAATTACCAATGAAAAAGAACATGAACTAGTTTCTATAATCGATTTCTTAAAAAGTAGAGTAGAGCATACTGCATACATATCAACAATAAGAAAAGCGAAACAAGCCAGCATCGAATGAGGAACGATAAGCAACAACATACAACTACAATCAATTTTTATAATCGATTTCTTTAATATCAGAGCATACAGACAATGATGAACAACAACAACAATAAAAATTAGGGGTTAAAAAAACAAAAAACTTACCGATCGGTAACGATAAACAAGAGGAGCAAGCGGACAACGAATATTTAGCAACAAGACTTTGTAGCGATGAAAAAGGAAAACAGGCACTTCTTACTTCTTAGGCATCAATTCTTTTGATACAGCAGTGAGGAGAAATTAACTTGAGGAGAGCAATTAAAATGGGGAACAAACAAAGGTCTCTATTTAAGGTTGAGGAGTTGTCATCGAATCCGGTTAAAAGAAGAAGAAGTAATAGCAGGCTCATTGGAATCATATGATAGAGGCGAGACTCGAGATACCGATTGAGTTCTCAAAGGAGATTTGGAATTAATTTTAAGCAATTAACGTTCTATCTTTCTAGGTTCCCAATACATGAAAAGTTTGTATTTAATTTATTATTTTTATATATAATATATAAATATTATTAATATATTATTAAAAAGTTGTAAGTTATAATTTTGTATAAATATCGGTTTAATCGTGTTTGTTGTCGGGTTACTATCGTTTTAATTTCGTGTTGTTGTTGGGTTAATTTCATTTTGAATTCTGAACACGAACACGACACGAAACGACTTCGGGTTTTTTATAAACAACACGAAAACGACACGAACACGAATTCGAAATTCGATTTCGTCCCAATTTCATTTCGTGTCGTGTATTTTTGTCGTGTCGTGTCAGCTTTTGCCACCCCTAGCACAACCCCTTACATATATTAGCGTACAAATTATGAAACCCCTTAGCTCACATGTCAGTTCTAGTTACTTAAAATGACATAGTGACACTAAAATCACCAATAGAATATCCATACCAATTTATTCGGTTTCTTAGTTTCTAGTTACTACTGGTTCGGGTTCGGGTTCAATTTTAAACCCGAACCCAATCATAGCCAAATTTAATCCTTGAGAAATCATTATATAGAGCTAAGATGGGTTGATTTTGTATGTAATGGCTGATTTGGAACTCAGAGAACCGTTTTATAATAGCTAAAGAGGGTGGATGTTATGTGGAAATGACGATGTGGGAAGAATTAGTGGTTGTTAAATAAAAAATCGAGATTGGTTTATGTTGTGTACTGTTGGATTAGATGTCTAAGCCCATAACTATTATTGGTATGTACTTGACCCGAGAGTAGCATGGTCCATTTGGGTTGCATATCATCAGGACAATTTGTTAGGATGGATTCTTGAGAGAAAGTTATATATGTTTTATTAATATATTATAAGTTCTAATATATTAATATGAAATCATATGTTTTAATTAGTATTAATTTGGAATTATAGTGATCAAAAGAGACTAATTAAATCTATAGGGATTAATTATGGTAATTAGTTATATTTATATGTGTTGGGCTTATGATCCATGTTGGACCAAGTTTGTGTATGGATACATAAAGAGTTGGGCCACATGAACCATGGATCATAAAACCCATGGGTATGGATTTGGGTTATACCCATGACTCTTGGAATTCAACACATATAAATACATGAATTATGACCTAAAACCGCCACCCCTTGTTCTTGGAGTTCATGGAGGTGTTTTTGGGTGCATGGAATTCTCTCTCAAGTTCTACATTTGTTCATGATGTGTTGTGACCTCATTTGAGGCTTCCACACTATTAGGGCTAACCTTTTAAAGCCAAATACATCAAGACGTCAAACTATATAAAACGTATGTTACCCTAACTAGTATTTTGTATGGTATATGACAATTGCATGCTAGTTATAGGATTAATACCTTGGAAACACCATTGCATGTATAATTAGTGAAAACATAGATCCAAGGTATTTAGGGTTGTATGTGCACCATAGGATGTTGTATTATACTAAAACCCAACAGTGGTATCAGAGCCTAGGCTTGATTTTCAATTATACTTGATGCAATTGCTGAAAAAATTTGAAAAACTGGCTTTCTGGACAGTGGACTCGCCTAGTCCACTGGGGGACTCACCGAGTCCAAGAGCAAATCCATCCTATTCATCGAGTAGGTCCATACACTCGATGAGTAGGAGGCCCAAAGTGCATATTTTCGACTTTTAAGGCTTGAATTGGAGTAGAATCATTACCTTAAGCTGTTTTTGAACTTATAAACATGTTTTTGATGTGGTAATGATCATTCTAATCCAATTCAAAAGACAATTATCAAAAGTTTCATGTTTTGTATTAGTTTAATGGTTAGGCTAATTACATGAAAATTGTTTGATTTGAATTGTCTTGGTCATATGAGTTTAATCTAGATCATACTTTTTCCTTGACATGTTTGTTAGTTTATTAGATGATCTAAATAGCCTTTAATGGATTCCATAACTTGTCATCAAGTTATGAAAAAACGAGAAGTATTTTTTTTAATGAGTCTTTAAAAGTCATGAGCTATGTTTTTGAAAAGTTTTTTTCCCATAAATTGTTTTATGACCTCCATAACTTGTCCTCAAGTTATGGATTTTCAAGAGTCTTGCCACTAAAAGCCATATTAAACTCATATGTTATGGATTCCAAAAGTTTTTGAATTGTTCAAAACTTGCCCTCAAGTTTTGGAATTTGTAAAGTTTCCCCCCATGAACACTTTAATTCCAAGTTAAACCCTTAGAATTTTAAAAGTTAAAATTCAACCCGTATACTATTATAATACTATAGGTTTAATATTTATAAGAGTAAAGTTAGTCTTACCGTTAGTAGGCCTCATTCACGAAGCCGGTTTATAAGGGGGGTATAAGGTTACTGACTATAAATTCACAGTTTAATGAGCGTACACTCTCACCCACCGCTTCCTTGACAGGGTCGTTAGCCGAACGGGTAAGACATGACTATAAATCTCCCTTCATTAAAAGTATAATGATAAATATAAAGTAACTAAACTTTATTAAATTCTCAATCTTAGTTACTTTAGAAAATTTGAATTTGGTACTAACCCATGAAATTGCACTTTGCACCTTGTTAAGTCATTAGTGAAGCGTGTGTGGTTAACCGGCACACTAATCTGGGACTGACAATGAGTGGTAAAGGGTAACTTTATGTTAATCATAGATCAATGGAACGTGTGTGGTTAACCGGCACATTGATTAGGTGGTTGTAATATTGGGTGTACCAAGCTAATTTGCATGGTTATTCACTCCTTGTTTGTGATCCTCGGCATCCTACTCACAAAATTGAAGGGCACAATCGAGATTTATACATGCCATTAAAAAGTTAAGTGAATCTCAAAGGATCTAGGAGTTTCAATTCACTTAAAACCTAAAATTCTTTTTCGTTTTGTGGTGGAAATTGGTAAATCGTCATTTACCTAACTTCAAATATTTTGTAGCTTGGACTACGACATCCCTCTTCCAGCTTATAAAATATTGTGTTGGGTCCTAGCCTTAATATTTCATATTGGGTATTATATTAAGTACTTAAATCAACTAAACTTGAAGTTTCTCCCTCATAGATGTCTAGTTCAAACAGCTATGGTTTTCCCTATCCTTTTGGAAAAGCTTTCATAATGAAGATGATACCCCACATGGCAATCAAGATTAATCCCTTTGTTGTGCATTAATGGGACTGGAAATCATACTTCACTTCCTACACCTCCTCCAATAATTCTCCCTAACCCACAAGTTCAAAGACTTGAAAAAGGTTCAAGGTCACTCAAGGCCTATTGGCAATGTCTATATGCACCCACATCTTGGAGATGAAGTCATATATAGACATGTCGGGAGAGTTGGGTGTCAAAGTCTTGAGGAATTTGGTTGTTGACTAGGTTTTTCAATAACTTCCTAAGTCACATAGTGAGTTCCTCAAAGAATACTATGTGGCAGACCATGACATGACCCTTTATGATCTTACGTATTTGCTTGATGTTGCTGAATCAACAATGATTTAGAGCACTGGTAAAAAAAATTTGATTGGAATATCTACTTTCAAACTTACTTGAACATTATCAATGGTAACATTGGATGTCTAGAAAAGCTTTCTCTTCCCAATGGAAAGGGATCGACCATAGTCAACCCGGTTGACCAAATGGTAGAGAAAAAGGCTTAGTCTGAGATAATCCCATGTACCATTCCAAAATAGTCCATATGTTACTATTGCTAAAGGAAGGGGCATTGGTTACAAAGCTGCCCTATTTACACGAAAGTTCATAAGGATGATAAAGTCAAAAGTTTGACTCTAGTTTGAGTAAAGTCCACTATCTAACTCTATTAAGTTCCTATTTGGAGATTCTTATTACATGATGTGACTAGGTCGCATTTTGATGTTGTGTAGAATCAAAGAAAAGAGAGGAAGCTTAAAGGAAGAATATGTTAATTATGATCGTGAAGATGGATTTCGATCGCATGGTTCGGTGATCAGAATTTTGTGCTTTTGCTTAAGAGTTGTGATAGACTGCTTAGGAATAGATAACAACATTGTTTTCATTTGTAATTGCATTGTAAGGAAAAGTTTTTCCGTAGTTTTGTAAATAAAGAAAATTTTTGATTTTATTTATTTTAAGTTTCC